CTTCTTGAGTGAAAACTTGAGGAGCCTACCCCCCAGCCCCGTCAGCGTTTCAGACCTAAAGTGGGCCACTCCCGAAGTGATCTGAGCCCCCTGCAAACACAGCAACCCCAGCACCCTGGGATGACGGCATGACCGCCAGAAGGATCCTGCAACATCGGGCCACGTGGGGCAGGTGGGCCCAGCGCAGCTCGTCCGGCTCCAGCAGTGGACAGCATCTGCCACGGAACCCCTCCAACGGGACAGGGGCGCCCCACATGGAGACATGCAGGGTCAAGAGAGCGGCTCAGAACACCAGGTATCCACAGGGAAACTGTTCAGTGATAAGCTCTCATTCCACAACCCCTCGCTTTTCTACTAACGAGGCAGCATGCACCGGTTCTCGGCACCACTCTGAGCTGCCGAGGCTTTACACGCCCACACTTTCAGAGCAGGTGCCTCGGTGCACCCATGAGAGCCTTCCAGAGACCAAGGCCCGGGTCCAGGGGCTGGGATGTGTGGGCACCCAGAGGCCACCTCTGTCCTGCCCCTCACACTCCCCTCTAGCTGACTAGATTGCAGATTCACAGACACCAAATCCAAGGTCACAGGTGAAGAGCTATGCCTCTACAGGCCACCCCAGCCTCCAGACGCTCCCCCAAACCAACCTCCTCGGTCTCCATGGCTCTTTGGGCACGTGAGGGTGCCCAGGTGTAGAAACGTGTGCCGTGGGTAACGCCAGCCACTTCCAGGAGGGCACAGCCCTCCCCGGGACTCAGGGCACTGAGAGTGTGCTCAGCAAAGGTTTCCCAACCACCACCCACCTCAGGCCCACAGGAGGGCTTTTCTCACCCAGGCCTCGGGCTACAAATCCACACTGAACTCAGACACCACACCAAGCCCAGCAGAGCTGCCTTCTGCCTGGCCACCATCCAGAGCAGACTCCCACAGGCCAGTCTGCTGTACCCGAGGACCCACTCACAAAAGAAGAAAACCCCAAGGCTTTGGAATACAGTGGCCCCATGCTGGTCCCACCTCCGGACCTTTGCACATGCCATTCCCTTTCCCCGGCTCTCACTTCCCCTCTTCTTCACTGATCCTCTGGAAGTAGCCTCCTGGGTCCCCTTTCACACAGTTCTCTGAACTCTGCCCTCACGGCGCCTCACTTTTATATATTTACAGAACTGTCTGCTCAGTGCCTGTCTCCCCAAGCACACAGTCCACTGCAGGAAGGCGAAGTTCCCTCTGCTCATCTCTGAACACTCCCCCCACCCCACCCCGTGCCAGGCACAGAGTGAGCACTCAAATATTTATTAAGGAAACGGCTCTAAAGTCTGTAATCAACATGATAACATGAGATTTTAAAAACTCAGGGGCACCTGGCTGGCTCAGTCAGTAGAGCACGCGACTCTCGATCTCGGGGTTGTGAGTGCAAGCCCTACGTTGCGCACAGAGCTCACTAAAAACAAAAACAAAAAACAAAACCCTCGGTATTCTGGCCCCACTGCCACGTTCCACAACAGACTGACCACTCTTTGGGGTCCTTCAAAATGGAACCCATCCCAGAAGCACTATGGAGTCTCTGCCTTCAAAGAGGCTGTCACCTGAAGTCCCTTTTCCTCCAAAATGCACCTGCTGATGACCAGAGAAGGGAAAGGCTCAGCAGCACTGGAGGTCAGCAGTCATTCTGCAGATGGAATCACAGCCTAGCACAAACAGACACCCCACATACCCCAACACAGAATCCAGAACAGAATCATTCCGGAAAACAGACTTCAGTCACTCAGGCACCAGGTTCCTTCTGCCTCACCAGGCAGCTAGGTGCTGGGCACACTCCCCCAGACCCACACGCTCTCCTCTCTCCTCTTCCCAGCCTGCCAGCCCACTGAAACTCACTCTGCCCGCTTCCTGGCATCCGATCCCAGGTCAGAAGCCACAGAGGGTCAGGTAAGCAGCCTCATCAACATAAGCCCCCAGGGCATTCCAGACCCTTACTTCCCTTGGGGCCCTGCACCCTAGGACACAGCACTGCCGACACTCAGAACTGAGGATGACAAAACACCCTCTATGAGAACAGAAAGCAGCAGCAAAGTTTGGAAACTGTTAGAACTCTCCACAAAAGTCCCAAATCCAAGAAGCCTACACAGAAAGAAAGAAAGAAACGTGTGGGTACATATATATCTAGGCCCCTTCCTTCCCTCTAGGTGGCCTTACTGACCACACTCCTGTTATTCAAGGCCTTCCAGGTTTTTGCCTCCTTCAAGAAGCCTTCCTTCCTTGACTACTAGGATCCTCACTGTGTGTCCATGGCTCGGGCTCCCCTACTCTCCAGGATTTGCTCCTGGTGCAGGTGTATCCATGGGGCTACTCCCCCAGCTCCCCCAGGCCAGCCCTTCACTATGCTGGCCAGCTCCCCAGACCTGCCAACACTTGTTGAACCAAACCAAGTACCAAGATCTCTCCGCACAGGTGCAGCTAGGGGCCTAATCCCTCTGCACACCTCCCCTTCTCCCTACCCACCTAGTCCTCTACCAAAGGCCAGCCCCTCTCCCACCTCTGCCGCCACATGGGGCGGCCCAGACCCTATCCAACCCCAGGGATGAGTTCCCCTACCGGACGACCAGCAGTAGAAGACGGCATAGCAGCCCACCGGAGCCTCCATTTGCAGAGAGGGAGGACCCAGACGAGGCCCCCAAGGTCACTAAGCAAGCTCCCAGGGCGCCTGGCCAAGCCACTTCCATCCCTCCAGGGGGCTTATCGGGCTCGGGTCTCCCGCAGAGGCCCTGGCAGTGACAGCCCCTCTGGATGGGTGTGTAATCCCCGGGGGCGGCCACGGTCCAACCCCCGCCCCTCGGGCCTAGCCGGCGGCGGGCACCTCCCGAGGAGTCCGCGCGTGTCCTCCCCAGCCCCGCCTGCTCCCGCGCCATATTTCTGCCCGCCCCGGTCGGAGCCCCGCCCCCATCGCTTGCCCGAGACTGGGAGTCCGGCGGGCGGCGCCGGGCGCGACCGCCGAGCCCGGCCGACGCGCCATCGGCCCCACATAGTGGAAGCAGGCCCGTCGGCCCGCGGCCTCCCAGCGCCCGGCGTGGAGGGCAGCCCGACCCCTGACCAGCCCTCGCGCCTTGACCGCCGCACCTGCCGCCCGCGCCGCCGCCCACTCACCGCGCGCGCGCCAGGCCAGCCAGACGCCGCCGGACGCCGGGGCCGGGCCGAGACCCTGCGCGCCCAGCGCTACCACACAAATCGACGGCCCCGGAGCTGCGCGGGCGGCGCGTGGGCACCGGAGA